TTTCTTTCTTTCTTTCTTTCTTTTCCCCCTTTTTCTTTTTTTTTTCTTCCTGGTTTTCTTTCTGGCCAATTTAAAATTTGTCAAAGTCGGTCTTCTTCTGGATCACTGCCCTTTGATATTTCGCGCACTCCATTTGCCACAAACAAGCCGCAGGGCCGCAGTTCATGCTGACTCTAGCAGAAGCAGAGAGAGCTCCATTTATCTTACACTGCCTGCTGAATTTCTGCTCATTAACTGGGGGTTCACTGCCTCTTCTTAACCCCCCAATGGCTGTTATCATCCCTTCAGAGTTAGTGGGTGGTAGGAAGAGGGATCCTCTCTACATCTGTTTGCAGAATGACTGGACGGTGAGGGGTGTGGGGCTGAAGCTTCTTTCTCTTCAAGGAAAGTGATATCACTCCCACCTTCACCCAGCACCTTTTAACTTTTGAAGCACATGAAGGGGGGAGGGAGGAGATTCCCAAGTGATGGCCGTTTAATCATTTGTTACAAATCATCTCATTATCAATTTCCTATCTACATTGAAGAAAACCATATTTATTTAACCTTGACCAAAATGGCACTAGAGAAAGAATCTGTAGTCTGCTAAATGTGAAGCAGGCTCTGTCCCAGGGCAGCTTGGGAACATGAGCAATGGATTTGGAACAAAAATAATTATGTGTGAGTCTTGGGTATATTTCTTGCAAGTAAATTATTTAACTTCTCTGAACATTAGTTGCTTCATCTATAAAGTGGGGATAACACCCACACCTCGCTAATGTGAGGATCAGATGAATGTGCATTTGCTTTGAATCTGCAAAGCATGTTTTCAAAGCTAGGGATTGGCATCATTTCCTTTCAGTCTTAATCATTGGAAAAAGCAGATGGCCATGTTTGGTATCAAGCATTCTCTGGGCTCAGGCCCACATTTGGAAATACAAAAAAAAAAAAAAAAAGTTGCAGTCCTGTCTCTCAGGTGTTTGCCATATTTTAGGGAGATCAGACACACCCAGGTGTATCTGTGACACACAGATCCATCTGGATATAATGGAAGATACTGTGATCACAGTTCCTTTGGGGTTCACAGTGACTTTTGACTCCTTTCACAATGTCTGGAACCAAAGACTCAAAATGCTTTTTAACAAAGTGGATGGAAATGACCTCATTCTCCAGATTGGGAAATTGAGGCAAAAAGAAGAGTTAAATGAATCATCCAAAATACAAAATAAATCATGTCAGAACCCAAAATGGAATTCTCATTCCCTGTGTTCTGCTTTTCTCAGGATTTCCTCAGATTTTACCTCAGCTGAATACTCACCCTGATCTAAATTAAACAAGGATTCTTTCCCTTTGTGATCTAAAGCTAATTCCACTGAGAAAATCTGATTTAGAAGAAAGCCTATAGGAGTGGATGTCATCTTATGTTCCCAGTCTTTTCTCAAATCGGCCTCTGCACTGGGGAACACACTCACAGATCACTTGGACAAACCAGTGCACAACTGTTGACTGTATTCAAAAACATAATTACTATTTATTCTCTAAGGATGAGTAATATTTCATTTCTGAATAGCTAACTTCATTTCCTTCAGAATTTTACTTTTAAAAAAATGAACTTCAGGGCTGGCCCGTGGCTCATTTGGCAGAGTGTGGTGCTGATAACACCAAGTCAAGGGCTAAGATCCCCTTACCGGTCATCTTTTAAAAAAATAATAATTAATTAATTAAAAAATGAACTTGTTTCATTTTATATGGTTAGTTTGGGTAGGAAGGTGGTAAATTACTAGTTTGCAGGTCTGAGACTATACATACAGAGAATGAAAATAGTGCATACATTGATTCTTGATGGAGGGAAAAGGAAAAATTATCTCAGAAAGAAAAGTGAACTAAGCCCAGATACCAGAGTCTTGCATTGCCAAACTAGTTCTAACCCTGGGTTCTCAGAACCAGGGCTTGGTAGAATTGTTGCAGGGAGGATCATGTCCTACCATTTTGGTTGGCTTAAGGAAAAAAAAA